TAATGTTTTTTATAGTTTCTTATTGTTTTATATTCTTTTAGTATATGTTGTAAAAGCTATATAAACCCTAGCTTTTATCCTTTCTTTAACTTTAGAATTCGTTCCCTGCAATGTTCTAAAATATTAGGATTCTATAGGAATAGATACCTATAGATAGCTTTGTATTTAGGCATTGTATCATAAATAAATAAACATATTCTTGCCCTAAAGTAAACCATGCCTCTATGCTTCTAATGAATATAACAAAACTGCCTTAGTGAGGAAACATTTTACTTCTACACCACTTCATATCTCACCCTGTTGTTATAGAGATCCCTGTCGCTGTGTGCTATGTTGCAGATGGTAAATTAAGAAGGCTACCCCACTTGTAACAATCTTTTTGCAATCCTGTAAAATTAATTGTTATAAAGTTAACCAAATTATTTAAAAGCCAATTTACTCAATATAGTAATAATACTTATTGATAATATAAAGCATGTGAATCTTGAATCGTTTAAGTGCAATATGCATTTTGAGTTCTAAAAGCAAATGCAATATGCATTCTAAATTCTAAAGGCAATTCTTAAAATCTTGAATTCACTTAAGTTCAATATAAATTCTGAGTTCTAAAAATAAATTTTTAAATATAAATATAAATAAAATTACTTTTATTGTCTTTTACCCACACCATCTTTGTTAACAAAGATTTCACCATGCAATCACAACTTAACTTTATTGCCTCTGTTAACAATGATAGCACCACACAATCACATGCCTCTGTTAACAATAATATCACTATGCAATCACAACCCCTTTCCAGATTTACTCTTCCTAACATAACAACTCATAGTCTTCGCTAGACAGAATTTTGGTGTTTTCAAAAAAAAATTACAGGTAATAGATATACTGCTAAGTGTATCTATTGCAGTAATGAGCTAATTGGCCACTCTGAAAAGCTTCATAGTCACATTCTTACATGCGATGGCTAGTCTGTTATTGATAAAAGCAGCTATATTAAGAAAGTAACTAGCCTATCTCTAATAAGAAAGCTAAAATTAGTTCTATGAATAATGAGAAATCAATGTATGTTATTATAAATAAATAATATAATAAATGATAAAAAAAAAATTTTTAACTAGACAAAACTTTTATAGTGTCACCAACTCTCTTAGTAGCTCATCATCTGTTGTAATAAAATGTCAAGAAAACTTGATTAATTGGTTTACAAACCCAATATCACAAGATCAACAAGAAAAAACAGATAGAAAATTGCTCGATGCAATTATTTATAGGAATCTTCCTTTCAAAATTGTTGAGAACCCTTACTTTCTCACATTTCTTAACGAATTGGTCCCAACTTATAAACTACCATCTGCTGATACATTAAGTAATAGAGTTCTTAACAATTCTTTCTCAGTCTATTTGGATAAAAAAATCAAATTAATGAAATCCATCAAGAATATTACTATCGCATTAAATAGATAGCAGGATATTTCAAAAAACTCTGTTTATGGTTTTAAAAAAGAAGAAGAATACATATTAGATATTGTAGACTTATCATCAAATCGACACACTGCAACTTTTCTTAAAAATAAACTTGAAAAAATTTTTTGGGCAAGCTTAATTTCAATTAATCATTCCGTTATTGCTTGTATTACTGATAATCTTTCAGTCATGGTTAAAATGAGAACTAACCTTTAAAAAGTTTATCCAAATATTGTTCTGATCTGCTGCTGTCTTTATATATTTAACTTATTTGCAAGAGATATCTCTGTCTTCCAACCTATACTTACAGTTATCAAAAATAATCAAAAAATTGTTAATTTCTTTACATTCTCTTATTTCTGACTTCGTACACTACGAGATTGGCAAAAGAAAGAAAGGTTGCACTTTCACTAACAACTTTTTGCGAAACCAGATAGTATTCTTTTGCAAAAGTTTGTTTAGGTATAAAGACATATGAAAGAGCATTTAATTGGTATCTTAAGCATAGTGAGACCAGCAATTATTCTATTATAAGAATGGAGATTCAAGATATTATTACTAACCGTTATTATTTTGCTGACAATGATATATTAATCATAGTACTTACTCCTGTTGTCGATGCTATTGGCCATTTAGAATCAAGAAGTGCTACATTAGCTAATATTTTTAAAGAACTAATAGCTATTTATAATACTATTTCTGTAGCAAATATTCCAGTAGATGAATTTAAAGATCATGTTTTGGCCACTATTAACAAAAGAACTTGTGAGTTTTCTCATAGTATTTACTTTGTAGCTTTTTTCTTATTACCAAGCTACAAGCAAATTGCAATATCAAAAATGATATCTGGAGATTCAATTATTAAGGCTTTATTAGAGTTAGCAAAAAATTAGGGGTTTGATAAAAGAGAAGCAACTCTTTTATTCAAAGAGCTTATTAATTACAAAAATAGAGTTGCACCTTTTGATAATTTTAGAAATATTAGTGATATTAATCCTCGAGACTTCTAAATACAATTTACAGAAGGTTTATCACTTCTTCGATGTTTTGCTATAAAAGTTCTTGCAATTGTTCTACATTCAGCAGCTGTTGAATAGTTGTTTTCTAGTTTGGAATTAGTTAAAACAAAGTCAAGAAATAGAATATCTTACACCTTAATGGGAATACTTGAAATGCTTCATTATAATCTTTAACAAAAACTACCCAAAGTGCCAAAAAAAAAAACTAAAGAAAAAAAAGATCAGGTCTCATCAGTGGATACTACTTTAGATATAGAAAATGCCAATATTAATTTTCTTTTAAATGAAGAATTTGATGAAAAGTTTTTATATATTGATGTCAAAGCAGTAAATCTTAATACTAATAATGAGCCAACAATAGAACAATTTTTTAATGTTGAGATCTTTGAACAAAACCCAAATATAACTAAAGAATTTCTAACTGTCAGTTCACAAAAGTCTACTGTTGCCAATGAAGATTGGTTAATTGAGGAGATTTTCTAGTTTTAATTAGCTATTTATCACTAATGCAGGAAAAAAAAAAATTATTTAATATTCTACAAATTTTTTGACCCAGATTTTAATAGTTTAAAATTTTTTTATATCATCTATATTTTATCCTGGTAAATTGGATATTCTTTTAAAAAAAACAAAAAAAAAACAAAAAATTATCTAAAAACAAAAAAAAAATCATTATTCATTTCTATAAATATGGGGGTGAGTCAATAGAAAAGGGACAAATTTTTTCTAAGTAAAAGTTTTCTTGACTTTAAGCTTAAATATCCTGGCAATTATCTTATCAAAGTTAATAAAAATTTTTTTATTTTAATTCTATATAATCACAAGATTAAAATAAAAAAATTTTTAGCAAATTTGATTAAATAGTTGTTGAGATATTTTAATTTAAAAATTAAAAAAA